ATGTGGGCGTTGCTGGCTGGCCAGCATTTATTGCCTGTCCCTAGTTGCCCCTTGCGAAGGTGGTGGTGAGCTGCCTTCTTCAACTACTGCAGTCCACCTGCTGGGGATTGACCCACAATGCCATTAGGAAGGGAATTCCAGCATTTTGACTCAGTGACCGTGAGGAAGCGGTGATATATTTCTAAGTCAGGATGGCGAGTGGCTTGGAAGAGAGCTTACAGGTGGTGGTGTTCCCATGTGTCTAATATCCTTGTCGTTGGGGTAACTCGACCCAATACGTTAACTCTGATTTCTCTCCACAGATGCTGCCAGACCTGCTGAGATTATCCAACAGTTTCTGTTTTTGTTTCTGATTTACAGCATCCGGAGTTCTTTCAGTTTTTATGCGGTGATAATAGTGTCTGGGACATTGTCTATAAGGTATGATTCTGTGAGTATGATTATGTCAGGCTATTGTTCACTGCCACTGGGAAGGTTAGCCTACTAATAACCGAAAATGCTATGGGTCCACAAGCTGTCAGGAGAATTACTTGTTGCTTTTCATCTGCCCCAATTTCATTTGCCCAGAAAATAATGCATTCTTTCCACATATTGGACCTAGTCTTTGATGACAGGATCAAACGAGTCAAGGTTCTCTAATAATGGCACAGTGCCAGAAATGCTTGTCCCAACTGAAAGATGACTATTGCGAATTTCTTTAGGAGTGTGCTTTTCTCTCATCACCACTGAAATAATTCCACAGGTGCCAGTATCCTGTCACCAAGTCAGCCTTTTGTACACGTGGAGAGTCTTTGATTCTGATTCAGCTCATCAGAGCCAGCTCTCAGTGAACTGGATGTCTGACACTCCTGTTTATATCCATCAGCCAGGGCTCCCTGATTGGACCAGGTTAACAGCCCTAATCAGGGAACTCATATTCTGTGGCTGACCTCATTGTAATCCTCACACTCTGCACCATACAACCACAGGAAGAACAGAAAGCAGCTATAATGTCTGTGCTGTCTGAATAAACTAGCTGTCCAATCTAATCTTGCTTTCCATCAATGGAATGTTGCTGAACTTCATTCAATAAATGGTCCTAGTCTCTTTTTTTTAATGGTGCTATCACACAGGCCAGAACCTGCTGTGTGAGACATGTGAGCTTGAATACACTGCAGAGCCTAGCTCTACTCTTCCACCCCTTACCTATATCCTGTGCAAAGTACAAGTCTGTGAGACAGCTTTCGCAATTTTGGTACTAGCCCCCAGATGTTAGTGAGGAGGACTTTGCAGGGTCGACAGAGCTGTTTCTGCTGTTGTCTTTTCTGGTGCCTAGGTCAATGCCAGGTGGTACATATAGCTTCATTTCTTTATTTAGACTTCATAGCAATTGATAAAATTGAATGGCTTACTAGGCCATTACAACAGACTGAAGTATGAGACTTTCCACTTGGGAATGATGACCTCACCTGACAAAGAGGTTATGCTCTGAAAGCTTGTGATTTCAAATAAACCTGTTGGACTATAACCTGGTGTCATGTGACTACGGACTCTTGGAAGCAAACAAAGATTGTGGAGATGGAGTCATCATTTTCTTGAGTTTAGAAGAATAAATGGTGATCTCATTGAAGCAATAACAAAATTCTTAAAAGGTTGATGCAGGAATAGTGTTTTCTCTGGCTGTAAGTGGTGGGTGGGGGAGGTGAATGATGGAAGATGGATGGGATCTAAAACCAAGGGGCGTAGTCTGAGATTAAGGGGCAGGCCAATTGAGACTTCAGATGAGAAGGAATTTCTTCACAGAGGGTGATGAAACTTTGGAATTCTGTACCCCAGAGAGCTGTAAAGGCTTAGTCATTTTTTATGGTCAAGGCAGAGATTGGTAGAATTCAACATGTCAAAAGGATATAGGCATAGTGCAGGAAAGTGATGTTGAATAGGCAATGCAGAGCTGAGGGGCCATGCTGCTTCTCCTATTTCTGAAGTTTCCATGACTCAATGCCATCAATACAAAGTTGAAGATCCCTTATCAGGCTGGTTCAAAATCTGAGTCAGTAGTCACATGACACCAGGTTATAGTCCAACAGGTTTATTTGAAATCACAAGCTTTCAGAGCATAACCTCTTTGTCAGGTGAGGTCATCATTCCCAAGATAGAAGGGAAAGGTCTACCCACATTAGTAAAGACTGCACCCCCACCTGATAATCGTTACCACAGGCTTTTGAATATATATTTTAAAATATAACAAAATTTTAAATGTAACATTAAGGAATCGAACCGGATTCCTGTGAATAAACAGCCCTAGGCATTAGGAAGTAATACCCAGCCTTCTAGCAGGGAGAAAGTAAGAACTGCCGATGCAGGAGTCAGAGATAACACAGTGTGGAGCTGGAGAAACATAGCAGGTCAGGCACAATCAGAGGAGCAGAAAAGTGGAAGTTTCAGGTCGGGGACCCTTCTTCAGAAATGGGGGAGGGGTAGGTGGCTCTGAAGTAAATAGAGAGAGGAGGGGTGGGGCTGGGGAAGGTAGGTGGGATGGTGATAGGTGAGTGCAGGTAGGCAGTGGTGAGAGGAGTGGATAGGTGGGAGAGAAGAGATAACAAGGTGTAAAGCTGGAGGAACACAGCAGGCCGGGCAGCATCAGAGGAGCAGGAAAGCTGACGTTTCGGGTCAGGACACTTCTTCAGAAAAAATCTGAATGTGGGTGAGGTCTGAGTAAACTAGCTTCAAAATCTCCCCACCCCTAACCTCATTCCATGACCAACCTCCC